CTTATATTCAACCCTCTACCCCTTGTATTCAACCTTTCAATCATTCTCTTCCCAAATGCCTTAATAGCCAGTCAAGTAATTTCTCCCTGCCCCTGAGTCCACAAATACTCTACACCTAGGCCACTTCTCTTTGCTCACAAAGGGGATGACTAGGTACACCACTTGAAGCTCTGCCCATTGGGAAGATTTCCCCTTGTGACTGGTTACCAAAGCCACCCACTCTTGAGTGCAGCTATAAGTCAGTTGCCATCTATTTTCAGCTTGCACCCATGGAAGCAACTAATTCATGAACCAAGTCTGGATTTTTACTCTTCATCTGGTCTTAAGGGATGGCCCATATACCTAGAGGTATGATCTAAGAGAGAGGACCTAGGGAAAAATCCCAAGTGAAATGAGGAAGCAGGATCTGATATTACAGGCAGATTCTAGGTCCTCTCACCAGAGCCTCCACCTTATGGCAGGAAAACCCCTGCCTTGGTCACAGAGGTCAACAACAACAATGACTGGTTAGAACCAGATCATCCCCAAATGGAGGAAATACCAAAGACCTGACCCCAAAGCTCACTGTACCATCATTATAATGAAAACTGACATCGCAAGTAGAAGTGGGGGCCAAGTGGGTGGTGAACACCATGACACTTCCTGAATGGACCATATTAGGAACTCCCAACCTGAAGGTGGAGACAAAATTTGGTGCCACAGGTTTCAAAAACCTGGAACACATAAAATCCCAGGAACTGACTGACCATGTGCACAACTCACTTGCAAGTTGGCCCACATCCACTCAGACGCGTACTTCTGCCTCTTTCACAGAGGCAATGGCAGAAACACTAGATAGGCTTTGGTGAATAGGAGCCCATGCTTTGTCTCTACTTGAATAAAACTTGCTTTTGTTCTCACTCCAAATCATTCTTGAAATCTTTCCTGTATGAGTCAAGAGCCTGGAGGTCGTCTGATACGAGAAAGGTCCTGGATTGTGTTGGGACAGGGCCAGGTCCCCGCTCTGAACAGGTCTGGTGACACAACAGCGATGGATGACATGGGGGTCTGGGCTGTGTGCTCATGCAATTCCCTTGAACCTTCTGGTCCTGCTCTTGCCTAATCTTGGATATACCAATCCTATCTTACAATGGCTTCTTGTTGCACCTGCCCAATGTTATGAATTAGAAGATCTGACCGAACCCCAGCTCATGATTGGCAGTTGTGACCATATGGTGGTTTTTGCTCCATAGTCAGGTGCTCCATCTGACATACATCATCAAAAATACAAACCATATATATAGTTTTTTTAAGTACATAATTCGCCACTAAAGATGTCATGGCTTTACTCTAAAACCCCAAAGCCTCAGCTGTGATTTCCCCATTGGGGTTTGCCATAAGTTCCAGTTTTCCTACCTCTGATACCTCTAGAACCTTTGAACCTGCCTGGTGAGGCTGCAGAGCTTTTTCTGCTCACAGCTGGCAGCATTCAGCAAAGCAGTATCCCCAGTTGAAACATACTGCTGCTACAATCTGAAAAGGCCTATCAGGAATTATGCTTTCTTCATATTTGGGAAGCTCAGGATGCAATAATTTGTCTTTTGGTGGGATTTCCTGGCATGCTCCTGACCACTGACTCAAACTGATACTGATGGGGCAGGGCCCTGAGTCTTTTTTTTAAAGATTTTTAAAAATTGATTTTTAGAGAGAGAGGAAGAGAGAAACATCAAGGTGAGCTGCCTCCTGCACATCCCCTACTGAAGATTGAGCCCAAAATCCTGGCATGTGCCCTGAGTGGGAATCGAACCAGCAACCTTTCATTGCACGGATGATGCCCAACCAACTGACCCACACCGGCCAGGACCTGAATCTTAGGGTGTATCTTTCACACTTTAGAGAACATGTCTTATCAAAGTTTCCAATGTGCTAGGAACTTCCTTCTCAAATGGTCTGATGAATATGATATCATCAGTATAATGAATGAAAGTGATATTCTCCATGGCATCCTCTTCAAATTATAACAAAGGAAAAGAAAGAATGTATACGATAATCTTTTCCCAATGAATGCAAATGCTTTCTCATCCTTTTTTTTTCTGACAGGGATGAAAAATTATGCGTTTGCCAAATAAATGGCTGTATACCATGTACCCGAGGCCATGTTCATTTCTAACTTTTTATTTTTTTAAAAATTTATTTTTTTAAATATATTTTATTGATTTTTTACAGAGAGGAAGGGAGAGGATAGAGAGTCGGAAACATCGATGAGAGAGAAACATTGATTAGCTGTGTCCTGCACACCCCCTACTGGGGATGTGCCGCAACCAAGGTACATGCCCTTGACTGGAATCGAACCCGGGACCCTTCAGTCCCCAGGCCGAAGCTCTATCCACTGAGCCAAACCGATCAGGGCCATTTCTAACTTTTTAAAAAATCCTCACCCGAGGATATGTGTGTGTCCTCCACCCCCCATGTTCATTTTTAATAGAAAAGACCACATCTGGCATTGCAACTGCAATTGAGGCTGCTACTTAGTGCAGTTTGTGGTTGTCTACTGTCATTCTTTATGACCCATATGCGATTATGATGGGAATTAACCATCTTCTGGATATTTAACAGGGATAGTAATTCCTCCATCACCACCACAAAACACTACCACTACCACCACCATGACCCCAGGTTAAGGTATTGTTTTTGATTTATTTATTGTTTGGCTAAGGGAGGAGCAGTTTTAGAGGTTCCTACTTGGTGTCTTTTTCTTTCCTTCCTTCCTCCCCCCCTCCCTCCCCCACTATAATTCTTACCCTGTAGGCCAGGGAAATGATGTGGGGGATTTTATGAAGTACTAAGCATTTCTTTTCTAATAATACATTCAGAGGCTGTGAGCAAAACCTTGGTCAGGACTTCATTTATCACCTAGCTCCCAGATGCCCCCACTATAATAGGTGCTTTGGGTCCCAGGTACCAGTGTCAATTCAGACACTGCATACAACAAATATTTGGGTATTTCCCTTTCCCTGGCGCACAATTACTGAAGTAAATGGAGGTAAGTCCCTTTGCGGAAGGATTGGGGGAATCATTACCACGTGTACTTGACATGTATTGCAGGGTCCTCCTGGGACATGGCCTTTTCTTTAGTCGGTGATTTCTGGGTTGCAAACCTGACTAATGTCTGAAAACCAAACGAGATCATGACTTCTTATTGGAGCAACTGCTCTCAGCCTCCAGAGGATGATCTATTTTAATGGCACATATTCAGTAATTCCCTTGTTGGTTGTCTTATCTATTTTGCTCCTAAAGGAACTATGTTCTCTTAACCAATTCCACAACTCACTGAGAATCAGGATTTCTTCGGCTGCCTCTTCAACCTTGCCAATTAAAACTACGTGTACCTGGCAAGACAACGGCCAGAAGAGCACTACTTCAAAGAGATTCAAAAGAGACTAATGGACCTCAATATAATGTGCCTCACTATAATAAAGACCATATATGACAAGCTCGCAACTTGGGTCCATGATGTAGGGGATGAAGGTAAAGGGCTATCCCAGGCCTTAGTTCTAATTCCGTTTTACAATGACTATTTTGGAATCTTCTGCATCCAAGGTAGAAAGTGTACTGTTGAAAACTTGTAGCCTCTTATTCAGGCTACAATTACATGTCATATATAGGATTCTTAAGTGTCTAATTATTTGGAGATTTGGGGGAAATGTCTTTGAAATGACAATAAGTGAGATGTGGCTACCAAAATATGAGAATGTTCTCATAGGCAAGAATTTAGGTCAAGGGAAAGGAGTCCCCTCTCTACTGTTTGCTTGTGAAACCATGCCTAAGTTGTACTTAATTCTGGATACCACACTTTAGCTGGGACATTGACACACGGGAGTGTATTTTCAAATCATCATGATGGCGAAGGAACCTGAAACCATGTCACCCGAGGCAGGAGTGGTAATTGTGTGGACAATTATGTTATTACTGTCTTATCTTCAAGAGTTAACATTTGAAATTTTTTAAAAAATGGAATAAGCAGACGAAAAAGTGAAGTATTCCAAGTCTGGCTTTCAGATACAGGTTTGAGGCAGACAGATATTAGAGAAAGGACAAAAACACCCTCCAGAGTTTGGCCAAATCCAGCATATCCTTCAAGTGCCTGTGTAGACCTTCTTCAGGAGGTTCTCCCTGCCTCCCCCTGGCTAAGTTAATGACTCGCCTCCAGCATCATCTGGATACTTTTCACCTGTTACGTATAAGACAGTGTTTACTCGACTGCGTCTGAGAACAGGTGCCTCCTATACCAGTGTTGTTCACAGTTGTGTTCCCTGAGCTTAGTCAACTGCCAGGCATATACTGTAGTAGGTCCTTAATCAATACTTATTGGGTAAGTAACTTACCATGAATTATTGAAGGTATAATTCCTGATAACTATTAAAATTGTGGGAAACATTAATATGGTTCTTTGTGGACAATGTGGATGAATACTGCTCCCGCGGCAGCGCGGTTGGATATCCTCGGTGCCAAGAGGCCTGCCAACATGACCTCTTTTTCTGTTGCCCTTTTCCTGCCTCCTGCCTTCATGCTGTAGAAGACCTCAAGGTCACGAGGTCGCAACCATCCGCTCCGTGGTGGCGATGAGCGGGACGCGGGAGAGAACTACATTTCCCAGTGACATGCGCGCGTCCCTGCCCGCGCGCGGCGGGGCGAGTGCACCAGGCGCTCGCTCCCTGCAGAGCGCTCATCGCCTGCCAGAGCCTTTGCCAGGCGATGGGGTGGGAGGCGCTAGAAACCACTTAGCTACAGCCAACCGCCCAATGCAGCACTCGCAGGCTCCCCCCGCCAGCGGAAGCTCCTGCGAAGCACAATGCAGCACTGAGGCAGCGCC